AAAAATCAATAAATGAATATGAACATTTCATCTGTCAATAAATGAAATGATGAATATAAAAATGTTCATATTTCATCTTGTTTTATTTTATTTGAAATATTCACATTCAATGTGTTAATTTAATAAATAATAAAAAGAAATAAGAATAAAAGATAAATAAAAATATAATAAAATATTTATTTTATTCTTTTTTATTTATTTTTTATTTTATTTATATTATTTTATATTTATTTATTTTATTCTTCTTCTTTTATCTTTATATCTATTATATATTTCTTATTTTATTATTTATGTTATATTCTTATATCTTTTTATTCTTATTTTATATTTATTCATTATTATTCATTTCATATTAACAATGATAAATAACAATACAACATATAATAAATAAATGATATAAGATAAACAACAATAAATAATAATAAAATATAAACAAACAATATAAACAAATATAAAATAATAAAAAGATCATCTAATATAAAATAATAATAACAAAGAATAAAAATAAGAAATGAATGATGTTTAGAAAAGATAAAAATGAGAAAAATAAGAAATAAAAAATGATATTCAAAGATAAAAATCAATATAAAATAAAATATAAAATATAATAAATAGTAAGAATAAGAATGATTATTTCTTATTTTATTATTATATTATTCTTTATGATTCCGATGTGGTATGTCAGATACACAACACAAATCACTAATATTTCCATGTTTCAAATCACCTAGTTATCTTCTGGTTATGATATGCCTTTGATGAGATAACATACCACATAACACTAATTAGTTATTTTTATCATGACTATTTATTATGGAGGTATTATCAATAATGATTATTATTTATTATTATTTATTAATGATTATTATTTAATATGATATAAGAATATTTATTTATTATGATGGTATTATTATTTATTATGATACATTATATTTATCATTGATACTTTTGAATTGAATACATGAAGTGTTATCAATAAAGATTATTTAAACAATGTTGATGATAAATGAGATAAACTATAATCATAATGTTATTGATATGTCAAACATAAAATAATAATATAAATAATGATGAATTTTAATATTCATTTATTTCAAAATAAAAATCTGATAACAAATTAAATGATGAAATATTTAAATTGAGAATGATTGAAAAAAAACAATAAATGAATAGAAATAAAACATGAAGAATAAAGTGAAATAATCAATTCTCAATATGATGAAAACATAATCATAAATAATTCATATTTAATTTCTTTATTTTTATTATCCATTTTATTATTATTATTTTATTTATTATTTTTATTATATTCTTTATTATTATTTTTATTATTTTATATTTATCTTTAACTTCTCTCTTATTTATTCTCACTCCTCTTTTCTTATTCTCTTATTTTTATTCATTTCTCATTTATTATCTTATTTACTTATTTCTACTATGATATTATTGTTTATTTTATATTTTACTTGATAACAATTCATTTTACATTGTAACAAAATAAGTGAATAAATTATGTACATAAATAAAAATTACAAAAATGAGTAAAATATTTTACATCAATAGATCAAAGTTGATTATTTTGTACCATTAGATCAGACACTTTTTTATTGGTTGTTTATCATTCATCTCATTTATTATTGGTATTTCATATTCTAATCTTCATTAAAACACTCTATTGGTATTGTTTTATTTTGTTTTAATTCTTCAACACATCTACATTTATAAAAACAACCAATTCCAAATGATGTAAATGATGAAGGTATATTAATTGATGTTAATGATGAACATCCTTTAAAACAATAACATCATATTATTTAAAATTCATGTTGTATGTTATTCAATATGTACTTATATCATATTATGTGTATTTTATATGTTTACATTCATTTCATTCTTCTTTCTCTTTTAAGTACTGTGAATAACTAATATCATACCATATTACTTGTTTAAATATTCTTCCATCATTAAATAATTCATCATCTTTATTATAAATATGAAATGTTTCAATATTAGGAAACAATTTTCTTGAATACTTATCTAATGGAATTGGATTAAAATGAAATCGTTCAATATTTCCTTGAAACCTTTTAACTCCTATTTCTAAATTAATAAAATCATTAATATCATTAAAATACATTGATGTTATCATTATTTCATTATATCCTAATTTCATTATTGATTTATTATTGATGTTGGTTGATGTTGTTGTATGTTCCATTCTTGATTTAAAGTTGAAATAGTTTTAAGTTATGAATCTTGAGTATTTTAATTAAATAATACTGAAAATAGTTTATTTTATTAAAAATTAAACTATTATCAAAACTATATTTATTATAGTATTTTACTATTGTTTATTACTATTTCTTTTTATTTTTATGTATTTTTAGATCAGAATATTATTTTTCTTTATCTTTAATGAAATTCAATTCATAAGAAGATAGAAAGAGAATCAATCATCATTAATGCTAATGATTTCAATTATAATTTGTACAATGATGGAATATGAGTTATGATAATTTATTAACTTATATCATCATTACATAATAACAATACAATCAATTCACTAACAAATGAACAAATGATGTATAGAGTAATTCAATAATATTAAATACACATTATATTGATTATTTAATGTAAAGAGAAACAATTGAATGATGAATTTAAGAATAATGAATAATAAAAGAAAAAGAAGTATTGTATTAAATACAAGTAAATGAAATGATAAACAGAAATACTAGAAAACTCATAAATACTATTAATATAAGAAAATACTAACTAGAATAATAAATAATGAATATAAGAATGAAAGAATTGAATAAACAAAGAATAACAAAGTATAATAAACAAAAAGAATATTTAATACAAATTGTTTAATTAATCAATACAAATCAAATATAATCAAATATAAATCAATTGAATGATATTTATATTTATTTTGATAAAAGAAGAAATCAAATAAAAACAAAATGAAATAATGATTAATATTTAAATGAATTGATAAATCATTAATCATTTTTGATATTGACCATCTTTTTGATGAGATATGATTCTAATAAATTGTAATGATAAAATATAACCAATTATGTATTTGAGAAATAATTGATAAATGATTTCATTTAGTAACAAAATCAACAATAAACAATGGATATTTAAAAAGAATTTTATCATAATTCAATTTCATAAATTTATCATTTGAATTGAAAATGAATAACTATCAGCAAGATATTTATAATGTTTTTTTATCTAATACTTCAGCCCCATATAAGCAGGAGTTCCAAAACATTTAGTAAAATTTATATTAGTCATCAATTGATTATATTTCTTGAAGAAGGAAAATCAATTAATTTACAATTAACAAGAACATTTTCATTAAGAAGTAACTAAAAATTATCAGATTTAATATCTCGATGTAATATATTATTTTCATGAAGATATTCAATTCATTTTGCTCCATCTATCAGAAATTTAATTTTTAATTTAAAAAGATAATCATTTGGATATTTATTAATTAAATCTTGAATACTATCATAATGACAAAATTCATTTACCATACTATTTTATTTTGAATAAATACTACTCCATAAAAATGAACAAGGTATTCATTTCTAAATCTATCATTGTTCCTTCTTTATCTTTTCCTTTTATTTTTCTTGATTTTATTTCACTTTATTTCATTTTTATTGATAATATTTTCATATAAATGTTTCTTTATAAATAACTATAAATGTTTAT